TGAAGAGTGTTGTCATTGTTTTTTACTGATGTATAATATTCCAGAATGTACCAGAGCTTCTGTATCCAGTCCTTTATAATTGCGGTGTGGCGGCCCTCACTCGGCCTCAGAACCTCGGCACGGCTACTCCTCTGCACCTTCTGGTCTTCGCAGGGCTCCTCTGTTCTGTCTCGCGGTCAAGTGGCCACTTCAGATGGGGATCTTGCACAGACTGCCCCGTAGCCCTTCTTTCCCGAGGGTCTGAGGGCTTTCTCGCTCTTACTTCTGAGAGGCTCTCTTTTATGCAGAAGAATGGCAAAATGGACCAATCCCCCAAGTAGTGTTTCACACACCTCATTTGCATGGTCCCCCCCAACCACTGGGGAGGAGTTACAAAGATGTGAGTAGAAGAGACAGATGGAAGCAATTTCCCGTCACCTCAGGTACACAGGGCTGCTTTTCTCTTACGTATTAAAAAAAAATTAAAGAAAAAAATTACAATTCGGAAACTTTATTTTCCATTACGCTATGGGACAGTTTAACTAGCATTGGAACTAGTTGTAAAGTTTGATCATCTTCTTAGTGATTTAGTGCAACTCTTAACAGAAATGCCACAGGCGAGTGGCTTTAAAGACCAGAAATGGATTTTCTCCGGGGTCAGGAGGCTAAAGTTCCAGATTCAGGGTGTGTACCTTAAAGAAGAAGTGTTTTCTTGTCAGTAGCCCCATGAGCTCCTTGGTTTCTGTCTTCCTCCTGGGTCCCTTCTATAACTCATACGTGATGAGACCAGTCCCATGACAGTGCTGCCAACACGGCAGGGGATGACAAAGGCATGCAGCAGACGAGTGTAGGACACGACAAAGACGCCATAGCCAGACCATGTGCTGTGCACGCGCTGCATCTTGCAGGATGTGGTGCAGGAGCTTGTTCTCCAGAAGCAGTTCGTTTTTTCTAGTTTGCAGTTCCTCTATGCATTTTTTGCTGCCTCTGCTTATCGATGGGCAGTCCTTGAAACATATGCAGGCACCGTTGAGGATTAAGATGTCTTTCTCAGGCGCACCGGGAAGCACATGCTATAGCTCTGAGCACAGCCCCGCCTAGTCTCAGTGTCGTAGAAAATACTGCTGAAGACCAGACACCCGGAGAGGCGCTGGTAACACCGCCGATGAAAGGCAAACCCCGGAGTTGGTTTGCAGAGTCACACACGGAGGAATCGTCATTGCACACGTCAAGCTCTCCAAGAGGCAGAAGCAAATCCACGGCGTGCGCAGAGCCACGCAAGGAGGGAGCCCCCAGGGCACCAATGTTCAGAGGCCCTCCCAGGCCTTGAGCTGAAGGTGAGAAAACTCTCCTCTTCAGAAGGCCAAGGATAAATGATGCCTTCTGAATATTTGGTAGTTCTTCATGTCTACCCAGGCAGATATTGTTTTTTCTCTTACTCCATCCCAAATTCTCACTCAGAAAGCATCTTAAATCCATACCATTCTATCTTCTACTTAATAATAACCACTTAATTATTCCTTAATAATAACCACCATTTGAGTTTTAGTAAAAGGTAAAACTTTATAATCCCAATTAAAAATTTTTTAAAAATGGTTTTCCAAATGAAAACACTTAAAGATATGCAACCTCATGTAGAACTTTACCTTAAATAATTTAATTGCTTCGGTCTGCAGCGCTTCGGAAGGCAGAGTTGTGAGCGGGGAACTGATCCCTTCCTTGCTGTGGCACAGAGCGGGATGTCTCCAGATCTGAGAGGCTGACGGTAGAATCCAAGAGCACAGAAAACAGATGTCAGCATTTAGCTTGTGCTCCCACTACATTGACATTTTAGAAATTCACTCATTCAAGCCTGTCCCATACTTCAAGCTACAACGGTCAAGACCTCTGGCAACAAATTTTTATTGTAGGATTAAAGCAAATAGGTAAATAAACACCACCCCACCCCCCCAACCAGTTTTCCTTTGATATATGCCAAAAGAATACTAGGAGCTACATATAAAATGTTGAAGAAAATCGGTTTGGGCTCTGCCTCCCTGAAGTTTATACCCTATGAGGAGGCAGGAGGACTTCTCGTCAGTTTTCAGACGATTGGGAATTCTCCGGTCGGCTTCAGATAAATTGAACCTATAAGAGCCTGCCTGGCTTAGTGTACTCGATTTAGATACGTTCATTGGGTGCTATGATATTGTTCAAATGTCTGAAAATGCAGACAAAAGCAGCAGCTGAGGAAAAGTCTAGAGAGAAGATAAAAAATTAATGAAGGCCATTCCTAAGGCCAACATTAAACTGCTGTGCTGGAGAGTGAAAATTAAATATGGTTTCTGTGATGATGTAAAGCAGATGACAGAATTCAGATTCTTAATAGGAAAAATCAAGCTATAAAAATCATTTTCATTTTGATGCAAATCAACAAATGCAACAAAGTTAAATGACCTTTTTTTTTTTAACATTTATTGAGCCAGGTGCTGAGCTGGGTCGGCTGGAGAGCACCCAAGTTAAGCAGCCTTTCATTAGATTGGGGGGGAGGGGCTGGAAAAGGGCTCTCCAGGCCAAAGAGCAAAGGCAGGGCGGGTGCCGGCACAGCACCCTGGGAAGAGAGGGGGGCCTGGGAGCCCAAGAACCATAGTGAGAACTCAAGCCCATTGCAGGAAAACCAGGGTAAAGGCAAAAAAATCCTAGGGATGTCTTGCAGGAAAAATTGGGGCCCACAAGGTAAAAAAACGCCATTAGGGTAAGGGCGGGGGCGGGGGGCATCCATCATATGAAACAAAGACTCCTATGCTCTGAACTTACAAGGTTCTCCATCGATGTTTAGCAATTTGCAAACAAGTTGTTCAAATTCAGATCCAACGTTCACATTGTTACTTCCAGCTGCAACCGTCAGATGATAAAGCCACGTGTCCTTCAAATCAAAATGATTTCATTAAAACGGGACCATAGAGTTTTGATTACTCAAGGGAAAAGTTAAATTTTCATAACCTGTCTATAACGCCGAAGCTTAAACATTCCATTATATTAATTTTAAAATAATCACTAAAAGCCACTTAGGCAAGCAGTTCTCAGGTGGGCTCACTTATACCACACGCTTGCTGTACCATAGCCCCCAATTATGTTCACCTTGTTATTATTTTCCATAGGGTGTCTTACAGAAGCATGACAACATGAAGTAGAGAAACAAGACGGAAAGGACCAGTTCTTTTACGAAATAAAATAAAGCTAACAGAAAATTTAAAGACAAAACTAATAATATTCCCATGTTCCCAAGATAACAACTAGTGTACTTTCTTCTGGTCTTTTTTTTCCTCTCCTTCACTTTAATGAAACTATATCATTGAGAGCATATTGAAAATAGATCATTATTATTTCTAAATTTGTTAAAAACATGTCCCTTTGTTATTAGTCATTCTTTATAACCAAATGTTAATGGCTCCAGGATATTCTATTATATGGACATATCAAATGGATCCAATCAAGTTCCTATTAGTTGAACATTTTAGACGGTTACGACTTTCTCACTCTGCACCGAATATCAGGAAGTAGGCAGAATGATGAGTCATTGACTGGGGCTTTCACATGAATTCTGGAAACACTGGCTTTTGGATTGCTTGAATGTTGAACTCCTGACACATACTTTCAAATGACTTTCCAGAGAGTTTCTGCTAATTTGTAACCCACTAGTCATGTAGAGCATGCCCCATCATATCTTCATTGACTTATAATTCTCCAATCTTTGATAGTCTGATAGACAACCGAAGCTTGACCATGTAAAGACCAGGCTTTCTTTGATTAAAAGTGAGTCTAAGCACTAAGGAAATATTTACAAGTTTTCTTCCTCCATAAGCTGTTCATCCACTTTTCCATTTTTATTGGCAGCATGGTACTTTTCAAATCAGCTGGGAAGAAGGTGAGGCAAGTGTTCAGGAATGCTGGCATCAGAAATGCGGGCTCCTATCCCAATCCCGCCTCCTTCTAGACGTGTACCACAGGAATGTCACCTCACCTTTGGGTGCTTCCATTTTCCCTTCTGTAAGTGGAAATAAGGTCACCTGCCTCACAGAGTCAGAATGGAAATGAAATACTGGATGTACAGCCCCAAGCACTTTGCTTGAAGTGTGTGGTCAGAAGTAGACAATGCAGAATAACAGCAATAATTCCATCAAATATTCTTCTTTTGTATTATCATTTGAATTATATTTATCATTTTATTAGATGTAAGGAAGTACCGTGATTTTTCATAGTCAAATCTATCAACCACTTCCACTGTGACATCTTACATTGTCTTTTTGTGCGTGTGTATGAAATAATAAGTATTTCATAATCAGAGATTAGACAAAGGTTCGCCTTACTTTTCCTCTAGACTTTTCTGCAAAATTTCATTTAACTTTTAAAGTCCATTGGGAAGTCATCTTGCTTATATGGTATGAGAGGTGAAATAAAAACTAAAACAAGTACTTTTTAAAGTAACCAATTTCTTCGATACAATACACAGATTATGTATTGAATAGCCTTTTTTTTTTCTTCATAAATCATTTTATTGGTGCTTCTTACAGCTCTTATAACAACCCATATTGCATCAAGCACATTTGTTGCCATCATTTTCAAAAAATTTTCTTTCTACTTGAGCCCTTGGTATCGGCTCCTCTTTTTTCCCTCCCTCCCCCTTCATAATTTATAAATTATTATTTTTTCATGTCTTACACTGTCCGATGTCTCCCTTCACCCACTTTTCTGTTCTCGGTCCCCCGGGGAGAGGGTTATACATCATCATTGCAATCAGTTCCGCCTTTCTCCTCCCTTCTCCCCCCACCTTCTCCGTATCCTCATGGTATCGCTACTCCCAATATTGTTCCTGAGCGCTTTATCTGTCCTGGATCCTGTGTGTCAAGAGTGCTTATCTGTACCAGTGTGTCTAGCCAGATTTTTAAGGTCGAACTGGGGTCATGATAGTGGAGGGAGGGGTAGGTGGGTGGAGAGAAGCATTAAAGAACGAGAGGGATGCTGTATGTTTCGTTGGTGCTATACTGCACCCTGGCTGGCTCGTCCCTTCCTTCTGATCCGTCTGTGAGGGGATGTCCAATTGTCTACAGCTGGGCTTTGGGTCTCCACTCCTTCTCGACATGATCGAATTGCCCATTCTTACCATAGGCTCCTTTACTTTTGTACCAATTTCAGCTTTGAGACCACTTTTATCAATAGGACTGAAAAATCATCATTCTAATAAGGCTTGTTTCCAAGAACGTAATGAATCTCAGAGAATAGAGCTGAAAGTCTTTTGATAAAGTTCTCTTCTTCATTCCAGTATAACTGATTTGAACATCATCACTCATACCCGGATAATTTTAGCTAAATCATTCCAAATGAAGCCATCCAAATCAAAAAGTCCATCAATACCTTTTCATGTGTTGATCCAATCAGAAGGTACGTTGGGCCTTGGTCTTTGGGGTGAATAACGATGGTGTAATGTGTGGATAACAGACTCCGACCACTGGCCTCATAATCTTCATCTGAATCGCAGGATCTATCAACCTCTTCGACTTTAGCTTCCCAGAGTTTGATCTGACCTAAAGGAAACTGAAGTAAATGCTAGTAATTGTGAGGAAGACATTTTCTCAATTAAAATTTCTATAGCACTTTTCATTCTTATTTTATAAAGCCTCCTCTTAAAAAAAAAGGAGGGGGGTGATGTGATACCTAAATACAATTTGATTATCTGGGTAAAGTAGTGATGACTAAAATGCCCACCTGCCATTTGAAAGAACAATTTGAATCCTGAGCATTGAAACAAAGCAAGCAGGTATTGTTGAGCCGGCTGTTGTCATGTAAATCGCAGAGGGACTATTAGCATCAATGACTGCTATCAGTCACCCTGTGCTTGGTCACCCACGTGCCTGTGTCAGTGCAGAACAGTGCTCCAGGGGTTTCCAATGACTCATTTTTCAGAATTAGTTTGCCAGGACTTTCTTCCAAGGCCTCATGGGGTACACTAGAACCGTGGTCTTACCAGCGGAGCCCATTAACCCTTTGCATCATCCAGGAAAACACACAATCTGCTTCAGATTTTCCACTCTTAAAATGTTTGATTAGGTTTGCGATTCTGAAAGAATTCATCCTAATTCCAGGGACATTTATCACCATCCAATTTCCTGCTCCATCCCAGGATTCAGTGCTTGGGCTCCCCCTGCCCCCTTGGACACTCTTGGCTTTAATAGCAACGTATGTTGGTTTCTCCCAAATATAAACTCCAAACTCATTATCTTTACTGTCGAATCACACCACAAGCATACGTTGTTTACAACTCCGTTCCCAAGTACCTCTCCATCACCTTCTTCTCTTCAGTCTGTATGTCAACTGCAGCCGCTGAACACAGATCATGTCACTGCGCTGCTCCGCTCAGAACCCACCAGAGGCTTCTCACCTCACTGAGGGGAAAACCCAAGTCCCTTCCTATGAGCTTGGAGATCCCACGTGACTTAGTCCCTAGTTACAGCGCTGATCAGGAGCCCTGGCGGTGCAGTGGTTAAAGTGCGGGGCTGCTAATGGAAAGGATGATGGTCCAACCTATTCATCCCATCACTCCGAAGGGGAATGAGGTAGCGGTCTGCTTCCAGAAAGGTTTACAGCCCCAGTCTGTCCTATGGGGTCACTGTGAGTCAGGAATCACGGCGTGGTAATGCTTGAAGAGCCTATTTAAAATGCAGTATTGCTTGCCTATTACCTGATAAACAGTGAAAAAGTACTTCACCTCATTGCATGTGTTTCTTGACTGCAAAACATGATTGTCTCCAATTAAATGAATAACAATTATCAATGACTATGGAGTCGTTCCGGCCTGAAAAGCACCATGCTTCTGAAGGAAAACAGTAAAATGAACTTATCTAATATGTTCAGAAAAAGGTTCTTTGAAAAGGTAAAAGAAGGTAGAAAATAGAAAATGATTCTACTACAATACATAACAAGAGTACCCTAACTATACTCATATCAAGATACGATAGGTACATCTTGCTTAGGCACACCCAATCATATGACAATCTAGATTTCATCCACCCCAATATTTAAAGATGATTATTCATTTGAACCAAGAAGTCACCATGACTCTTTAAGCAGCGAAAAGATCTAGTGATTTAAAATAGTTTTGTCAATTGTGTGATTTTTTTTTGTATAGGACATCGAGGATAGGTAGATCTTTAGACAATAACGGGATTAATAATTACCTAGAAGGCTGGCAGGGAGCCCTGGTGGTGTAGTGGTTACTCGCATGGTTGGCGGTGCAAAACCACCAGCAGTTTCTCTGAAGAAAGACTAGGTTTTCTACTCCAATCAACGGAAACCCGCGGGGGGCGCTGCGAGTCAGCCTTGACTCTGACAGCGAGAGAGAGGCGTGGCAGGGGAGGTTGGAGGGACATGGGGCACTAAAACCGCAGTGAGAGCACAACTCTCCTTCATGTGACTGAATGATGAAACGATATGATTTGTGAATTATATGCCCATGAAATGATTCCAAAAACCAAATATTTTTATTTAACAAAATTTACAGGTTCAAATGTAACAGCAACTGTTCCTAAGCCATCTATAGGACGAGATGAAGTCGCTGGCGCTATGCTGAATCACATGTCTCCTCAATGCTTTTCCTGGAATGCGAGTGGATAATGGGTTTCTGCTCTTTTAGCTATATTTTTCTGAATTGGTTTTTGTTTGTTTTACAGCAAAGCACAACTATTCTTGCTATGCTTCTACTTAAAAAACAATACATGCTCCTTTTAAGAGCGTGGTAAGTACAGAAAGATATAATGTAATCGAAGGAAAAGAAAATATCACCCATAATTCTATCGTCAATGACAACACTCCATATTTGGTACAGGTCTTCCCAAGGTTTATGCTATTCTTCACAGATAGATGTACTGATTCGGAGTTATAAACTCAGCTTCCTGACCACCCTGTGGCAGGTCTCCTTGTAACTACAGAAGAGAAACTGGGACTGAATTTGCTAGACGTCTAACACCTGTAAGGTTTCAGATTAGAGTTTGCCTGTGAGCGATGTTGTATGGGATTTGCAAGTGAAAGAGACGTGTTTACTCCCTGAGACAGCTGCAGCCAGTTGCCTGAGCTGACCGGAGAGTCTGGAAGCTTCTTGGCAAACTCTTGAGGCCCATCTGCTTCATAGCTTTGAGCCAACTATGGCGACTTCCCTAATCTTTATTCCCCTAGCTTTTCTAAAAATCATACCAGTACCTCATTCTACATTAAAACGGCTATGCCTGGAATACACCGTGTGTTTTCTATTTTCCTGACTGACACATTATTTAGGGCTGCACCGAGTATTTAATTTTGCATTGGGCTTATTCATCCGGCAGTTTCACTAGAGCGCCTCCGCACCGTACTCCAGTCTCTGTGGAAGGTTTCATCGGCTGCACTCTGTTCCTCCCGTCCTGTCTGTGGCGGTGGGTCTGGGCATTCTCATACAGCCAGCTGGAGCTGAGCAGACGGTCTGTGAAAACGGAACAGAGCAGGGCTAACCGACCCCTACGGAGACTGAACCCAGACACGTCGCCTCATCACCAGTGGGACCAGTCACAGGGTGCTATCCTGAGGAGGGGACCACATTATTTGCTGGCCCGTGCTGGCTTAATTTTATAGTTTCAGGTCTCAGGAGGTGACGTGGATTACCCATAAAGGTAACTGGGCACATGATTTCACCTTTGGCGTTAGCCCATCTCTGAAAGTGAGCATAACAGAAGTTGTTTTTGAGAGGGGATTCATTTTAAAAGTAAGTCTGTTCTGACTTATACAGAACTGAATGACGCTAGAGGAAAGAAAGAACTGCCCCTTCAGGATGCTGAGACTTTAAATTTACATACGAGCAGACAGCCTCATCTTTCTCCCAAGGAGTGACACGGTGGGTTTGAACCACTCACCTTGTAGTTAGCAGCTCAATGCATAACCTACTGCACCACGCGGGCTTCTTAAACATGAAGACTATCTAAACAGGCAGATGCATGGGTGGATGAGTACATTCTAGGAATCTGAGGCCCTGGGACAGGCCTGGCTTCCTTTTCCTCCTCCATTCTTATTCCCTAGTATGCTTTTCTGTTCCCACCTACCCATCTACTCTGTCAGAACCTGAGGACAGATGAGGATGGGATGGTTGGGGGGGAGTAGAAGAAGGCTCTTCTCTTCTTTATCTTATAAAAGCTCTGAAGAAAAGTAAAACTGAAACAGACTTGGAGATTTTAGTGACAAGTGCATATCAGACAAACAATCAAAAATTAAGATTCCAAAGACCCAACCCACTGCCAGCGAGTCAATTCCAACTCACAGTGACCCTGCAAGACAGAGCAGAACTGTCTGTCCCTGTGGGCTTCCGAGGCTGGATTGATTAGGAGGCAAGATCCTTATAGATGATAGATACATGATTATCTCAGTTGTAGTTTTTGGGTTTTTTTTATTTTTTATTTTATTGGAGGCTCTTACAACTCTTATAACATTCCATACATCAATTGTATCAAGTATATTTGCACACATGTTGTCATCATCATTTTCTAAACATTTACTTTGTATTTGAGCCCTTGGTACCAGCTCCTCTTTTTTCCCTCCCTCCTCACCCTGTGACCCATTGATAAATTATTATTGGTTTCATATCTTACACCTACCACTGTCTCCCTTTCCTCACCTTTCTGTTGTTCATCCTCCGACCCCCCCACCCCCGGGAGGGGCATTATGCAGCAATCATTGCAATGATTTGCCCTCTTCCTCCCCCTGCACCTTCCCCTACCTTCTGGATATCATGACTCCCATTGCTGTTCCTGAGGGGTTTAAGTGGATTCCAGGTGTCATGAGCTCTTATCTGTACCAGTGCACATGCGCCGGTCTAGCCAGAACTGAAAGGCAGGACTGGGGTCATGACAGTGGGGGATGGGGAAGGCTCAAAGAACCAAAGGACTACTGTGTGTTTCATCCATGCTCTAGTGTGCCCTGATTGACCCACCCCTTCCTTGTGACCCTTCTGGGAGGGGATGCTCTATTGTCGACAGATGGGTTTTGGGTCTCTTCTCCGAAATCCCCCATCCTCAACAGCAGTAGTTTTTACCAAGTAGCAGAAGAGTGAAAGAGGAAATTTTAGGCTACAATGAACATTTTCCCCCTCTAATTAATATAGTAAAAAATACATACATATGAGCCCCCAATAAAAAGATTTTTTTTAAAGTTCATAATTGGAATGAAGATGGATTTTTTCAACAACAACAAAAATATATATACATACCTTATCTTCTTGACTACGGAAATAATACAATGTTTTTCCTATAAGTGTGCACCAGACTCTCTTGGAGTAGCCATGTTTTACCTGAAATCATATTTCAAAGAATTACAAATGCACTCCGAGTTCTGATACTTTGACGCATATACCTTACGTGCTGTTTTATACTCCAACTACCCTGTCCACATGCTGTCACAGGTTGTCACAGGAGATGTCCTCGGACAAGTGGCTTAACCTCTGTGCCTTTATCTGTAACATGGGATTACTGCCCCCTCACTTGGCCGTTGTACTGACCACATGAGAACGTGTAAATAAAGGAACTGATTCAATAAATGCTTCTGTCCTCACCCTAAAGAGGAGGTACAATGCAGGCTTTCAGTTGAACCCACAAGCAACGCTGGCCTAGCTTTCGAAGCTAGGGTTTAAGCAAACAAACAAACTCGACCACCTAACAGGATGATAGATTCAGAGTGCTGCGTGAGAAAAAAGGGAAAATGTTTCATTTGGCAAAACACGTTTCAATTTAATTAAATTTAGAAACATCCATTTGCGGATGAATCTCCTGAAAGTTTTACACAGATCATGCCAAACAGTTGTTTTTGTTTGTTTGCTTTTTGTTTTAAACAGACTCCAGGAAGGACCCTCCTCCGTACTGGAGTATAACCCACGTGGTTACAGTGTACTTTTGACATGATACCACCTTAAAATAGCATGATGTCTACCTTTGGAGGACGGTGGATGAGCAAAGAGCTTTCCCAATTCACTGCCAAGGCTGCATTCTCAAAACATAGACTATTTTTATATGTAAAGCTCCTTGTGTTAGGATTGCTTAGAACTCTGACTTATTCCATAAATAATGATCATAAAACAAGTCACACTAGAAGAATCCACGTGAAGATTTAAAGGCAACCTTCAAAGTTCAAGGCTCTGTCATCCTACAAAACAGGGTGCTAAGGCAGTCTCTCCTTTCCCCTCCCCTATATTTTCATTCCAACAATCCTCTGGGCTTTCCCCATAATTCTCCAAGAACTTAGTGCCCACCCCAAATCCTGCCAGCAGCCTATGGAATTCAATAGCTAGGTGAAACTTCTTGTGAAATCAGCTAGCATTTACTGAATGTTTATGATGTGTTAGCTACTCTTCTGGAGCCCTGGTGGCGTAGTGGCCACCTATTGGGCTGTGATCAGGGCTGATATGTATCAACATCTAATCAGTGTGAGTGAGTTGTTAATACATCTTGGGGTATTAATTCCAAACATGTTACCCACTTACACAATTCATTCACTCATTTTAAAGCCCGGTGAGAAATTTGAGGCTCCAGTGGCTGCCCCCACCAAGGTCTGATCCCCAGTAGTTTGGGGGTGCAGGGTACGCATCTGGTTGAGAAGACACCACTGATGTGCACTATTCAGGTGAAGGTCAGCAGCCTGACGGATACCTACTTGTCTTGTAAATACCCTCAGCGTCTGTCCAGAGGGTATTTCTCACCGAGGCAGGCATTTAGGGGCATTCCCAGCACCCAAGGTTTCAATTCTTGGAAGCAAGGTCAGTGGCATGGATTCACATTGGTTACTGAGTGCAAGGGCTGAGGATCAACCCACCAGCCCCGTGGGGAAAGAGGCTTCAGTCAAGAGGTACAGCCACAGAAACGCTCTATAGGCCCGTGCGCGTCTGAATGGACGATCCGTGGCAGTGAGTTGATCGAGTCGGGAGAGGGCAAAGGGAGTTGGCAGAATTGGCCAGGCCGGGCCGGGCTGTGCGGGCCATGGCCTCTGCCACATTGGCTGCTTTTGTACCACTTGGTCATGGTATCTAATCCTATTAAGATGATATTGAATTAGATTTGCTAGTATTTCCTTGAAGATGCTTGCATCTACCCCAAGATAATGCTGGTCTGATATAATGAATGAGGAAGTGGTTGTTTTACCTCTTCTCATGTTTTGGAAGCGTTCAAGAAGGGCTGGTATCCCTGCTCTGGTGGCACAGTGGTCAGCACTGGGCTGTTAACCATAGGAAGGGGTGGTATCAATTTCTCGTTAAATGTTTAATAGACTTTCCCTGTGGAGCCATCTGGTCTAGCACAGGTTTTGTATTGGTTGGTTTTTAAATGTTTTTATTCAGTTCTTTCTCTTGTGATGGGCCAGAGTAAACTTTTGATTATCTTCCTTAAACAGATGCTTCTAGAACGCCTGAGCTCTCTTTCATCGGGATCCTCTTTCAACCAGGAACCGTCTCTTTTGCTTCCTAATCCCAAATTCAACCAATCTTCAAAGTGATTCATTGACCTCCTACCCTGATCTAAATCCATCCTCTTCTCTTCCTCAGACTAGTTCTGAGGCTCGTCCATTTTACAGACTGTCCTCCTGCCCTTACAGCTTCCATCTTGCCCCCCAGCAGGTCACTCAGTAGAGCAACAACATGAGTATGCCCATTTTGTGTTACAGACCCCGGAGGGGCTCACAGACCTGCATAATGAAGACTGAAGTTCTTAACAAGATTTTTTTTTTAAGCCCTCCATAATTGGGACCTACTGCTTTTGTCCATAGGACGGTTCCCAGAACTCACAACACTGATCCAAAACGCTATGCCATTATCTGCCCATCTCCTGGCCTGGGATCCCTTCCCCGCCCGGTCCCATTTGGTCTAGCTTTTACTCCTCTAGGAAGACCGGGCCCAGGTGAATCTTTTCTGAGATGTTGTCTCTGATCCCTCTGTCTTAATTAGGTTTCTCTGTGATCTTATAAGATATCTGAGTAATTGCACTTTGCCCATATCATTATAATCATAGTTTATCAGGTCCTCTGAGGGATGGACCTGTCCTTCACAATGGCCTTGTCATCCTAAAACCCTCAAATCCATTGCCTGCCTGGGAGCACCAGCTCTCTCGCTCTCTCTTTTAATACATGCATTTTTATATAGAAGTGTTTTTCCTAAGCATTAAAATTAAAATTAAAATTTCAAGAGTGGCTATCCAGAAATAAGTTAGACAAGTTCCTAACATTTACTTAGGTATTTCTGAAATTTAAAAATCCTGAAACTAATAAATTAATTTTATTAATAATTTGTATTGACTATAAAGGAATTATAATAAAGTAATGAGAAACCAATTAAACAGTTGATTCTGAAATTCGACAACTAGAAAAAATACTTCCTCATGCTGCTCCACAGTATTTCAAATAGGAGCCTGAAGTTGAGCTGTGACACTGGTCACTCAAAGGAGCGGCGGCTGTTCTTGTCTTACAGTGCTCTGACCGGGAAAATATGGAGGTGGCCACGCCTTCACTAAAGATACGGAGGAAATCTAATACACATCCTGTCTATTAACCCTCATGAGTTAATCATTTAAAAATCTTATCAACGTATATCCACTTAAAATTAAACTGAACTGGGAAGCAGGGAAGGGCAGAAATGAACATGAACAGACACTGACGGTGGCATGATGATAAAGCAAAAATAAGCAAGCAAACAAACAAACTACCATATTTGGTGGGGGGAGTGACAAATCCTGAACACACGATCATATTCAACTATAAGGAGTTGGTACACACAGTCTCCAAAACAAGAGACAATCAGTTACTATGAATTATAGTAAGAATATGATATAAAGTAGAACAGTGTCCTTTGGAAAATATGTTTGAACAATCTCAGGGAACTCTCTAGCCCATCAATAACTGAGAAAGCATCTTATAGGAATGTGATATTTTGAAAAACAAGCCAAAAAACCCCAGCAAGACAAGACAACTAGTGTATCTCCTCGCTGAACACACTGATGGGTCCCTGCCCTCACTGTGTTATAGTTGGCTAAAGAAAATGTGCATGCGTGGCACCCAGCCTACAGCCCACATTATTAATAAGTACAGTGTAAGTTACACAGTGGTGAAACTGTCTGACCCCGCTAAGATAAACAGAGCCAGGCAGAAGTTGTTATTTTTGTACGCGTGCGTAAACACTTGATTGTGCTCTCCTAAAAGTGACCAACGGGACTTTGAAAAACTTAAAGTTTTTCTTGGAATCAATCAATCAACAATTACTCATTCTTAAACAGTTTGAAAACAGAATGAAACAAAAAAAATCACATCATCAATATAGCTTGTTATCCCATTCAGACTTTTAAAAATATAAATACATAAGCCAAAAAAAATCAGTAGAGTGGGTGGAGATAATGTAATACTGCACTCTACTGATTTTATCACCTAATTACTAAGATCCACCTATTTCTGTAACATTGAAGGGAGCCCTGCAGGTGCTGTGATGAACTTTCTGGACTGCTAGCCAGAAGGTATGTGGTTTGAACCCGTCAGCCGCTCTGTGGGAGAAGATGTGGCAGTCTGGTTCCAAGAAGGTTACAGCCTTAGAAAACTTACAGGGCAGCTCTACTCTGTCATACATGGTCAGTAGAAGTTAGAATCCATTTGACATAAATGGGTTTTGGTTTGTATAACACTAAATATTATTTTAAAAGCAACTATTTAGATATCATACAATTTAATCATTCGGTCAGATTAAGAAGAGTGTGCAGTCATCACCACCATTAATTTCATAACATTTTCTTTTCATACTCAATGTTGTTAGCGCCTCATCTCCCCACATGCTCCCCTGCTGGATAATTATTAATTCTGTAATTATGGTTATTATCATTATTAGTTATATGTAATTATTAGTTACGGTCTCTATAAATCTACCTATCCTGGATCTCACATATAGAAAAATCACAAAAAACACAGGTAGGAAGTTAACAAACAACCCCCCACCCAACAGAAATGACTAGACAAAACATAGAGAAACCTCAATCAAAAAGAAAGCAGAAAACATTCAATACTGAAACAGCTTTAAAGTGGGTCAAAAGAGATATCAAACGTGATTCGTTATCTGAATGCATTAAAATTTACTTAAGTTATCCCTTACGCTACTCTACCCTCTTAAGTTCTTCTTTCTTGACTTTAAACCTTTCTTTACTATACACCAGGTTGGACAAGAAATCTTTGATTCAGGAAGGGCTATCCACCACTGTTGAGTTGGTTCCAACTCATAGTGACCCTCTAAGGCAGACTAGAACTCTCCTCGGGTGTTCCCGGAACAGACAATCCCATCTTTCTCTATGGAGCAGGGTGGGTTCAAACCACCAAACTTTCTGTTAGCAGTCAAACACTTACCTACGGAGGTACCAAAGTGTCACTGTAAGTCAAAAGTCATCAGACTACATTTTAGGAGCTCTGCATTTCAGCACGTGCCTAAGATTTTAACGAAAAGGGCACTGAGCGCATCTCTATATTGTTCACCTGGAGAAGATGAATGTCACTCGGTGTTTTAAGCAGCACTTATTACCCTTGAACTCAGTGCCATAGTCACAGGTACATAAAATCCGCACAGTTGAAACCCGGGTTGTTCTGGGGTCAACGTCAGTTACCGGAAACACTGCCGTGTGGGCAGGGCTCTTACCTTAGTGAGCAATCCCTTCACAGTTGGCTTGCCCTCAGGTTGCAAAACCAGTGGGTTGGCAGCTTGTACTCGAAGCACGTTCTGTAACACTTTCATCCATTCCTCCAGGATGTTGGGAGAATCTGCAGTCAGATAGTAGGTGTGCTTTTCAGTGGTCAACTAGAATGGATGAGAAAGAGATAGGAGAGTATGCTGCAGATCTCTCCCGGTCGGCGCGTCCTGGTCCATTCTCGAAACACTGCTCATCATACAGCACAAAACAAGCCACACTCAGAATCTTGGCTTCTAAGTAAATATGCTTCCGTAAGGATTTTTTGTTTTCCCTTAGGTCCCTTTAAAAACGTTTGGCCGCACTCAACGTTTTAGTTCTTTTCTGTCTTGCCTACTCATCCCAGTTCTCACTCTCTCCCTTCCGTGTGCCACCCGCCCCTGGGTGCTCCAACGGGGAGCAGAATGGCTGGAGACTACAATGAAAGCCGCACACATTTGCAGCAACGGAAAAGGAATGATTTATTACCGAAATGAAGGCATCATCTGGAAACGAAAGAAAACTTTGCCTATAAGAAGAGACAGTCCTGGAACGAAAAGGGGATCGGATCCTGGAAACTCTCAATCTTCTGGTCAGAAATTGACCACATTACAGATGTTCCAAATTTTTCAGAAGCTTACAAGTGACTCTCGTCTGCCTTTCTCCAACACACAGCTTCCCTGAGATCGCTTTTCCACATCGTCCAACCATTCATGCTCCAGCCTCCAAAGGAGCGAGCTAAGAGAATGGTGACTGAAGACATTTCAGAGAGCGTCTGCCCTTAATCACATCATCAGATAATCTCATCAGCCTGCGCTTGGCACTGAATGAAGTGCGGGCAAGGCTGGCCTCACGTGTGGTGGGCAGCAGCTCTCTCTACGGTGTGAATCAGCGAAGCAGGACTGAGGGCAACCTCTCTGCTCACCAACATCTTTCTCCCTGAGGTATCACAGGGACGCTCGTGTGAGAATTGTCAGTTGACAGGTCTGTATTAAAATGCAAGCATTTCAGAATTTAATGTTACGTTACATTATTAAACTCTACTTGGGAATTCATTTCTCAGATAAACCGAAAAAAAAACCCAAAAAAACAAAAACCCAACTCACTGCCACCCGGTTGGTTTTAGCCATGCCAGTCCCACAGGACCGGGTAGACTGGCCCCTGTGGGCTACCAGAGACTCCCACTCTTGACTGCCTTGCTCCCGTGGAGTAGTTCGTGGGTCTGCATCGCGGACCTGGTGGTTAGCAGTTCCACATGTAACCACTAGGCCAAAAGGGCTCCTCTTTTATCAGAGAACCCTTCCCTCAAACAGCTGAGAATATCTGGGAAGTCAAGTATGGGGAAATAAAGACGTAAAGGGAGAAAGAGTAAGGCAAGTGTAGTGGGGAAATACCCCCCATACATTTAGCTTATATGATGGCTTAACTGAGAAATCACATGGTGTCACACGCTTTGGAAGCATCAGTCTGAGCCCTGCGTAACTAAAGAAACATTCATCCATCCGATATGTTAGACATTAGCTTAGTTAATTGAAAGGTGAGTTCAACATGCTTAAAAATTAATGCATGAATATATACATACATACATACCTGAACTGTTTGCTTGTTATCTCCTCTTAAGATATTGCAGGATGCACTAAGTTCAATGTGGCCCTGGGGCTTTCTGATCACATCACTCTGTACCAAAAAAAGAAAAATGTAAGCTGATGACCTGTGATCGCAATAAAAAGAAATGTTTGTGTTACTCATCGCTTTGCCCACTGACACAAAATCAATTCCAACTCATCGAGACCTTATGTCAGGTTTCTGAGACTGCAAATCTTTACAGGCAGACAACCTCATCATTTTCTGACAGAACAGCTGGTGGGTTTGAACCGCCAACCTTGCAGTTAGCACCCCAACGCTTATCTCACAGTGCCACCAAGCTCCTTCTTAATTGCATCATAAAGATGAAAACCAATCAATAGCTTTATTTTTCTTCTTTTTAAAACAATTTTACTGGGGAGTTGTACTTATTGTATCAGGAATTCAGTTCTGAGTAGCAAGCAATTCATACTCACTGGAGATTTGTAGTAAAGTAATTCACCACCTTTAAGAACAAACCACCTCCGCTTCCAAGTCTTGACTTTGCCGCTCATTTTTAATAAATAGCCAGATTTTTCCAGTGGTTCCTAATTTTAAATGGGTTTAAAAAATGGTTTTAATGTTATGTGTGAGGGCTCAGCCGGTCTAGTTTATCCGTGTGTCCACAAAGCAGAAAGGCAGCGAGGAAGGAAGACGGGCTCGGTGCTTACATTTTTCCCAGGATCACCGGCAGACAGGCAGGTTTTCAGGAGCTTCTGCTCAGGCTGTGAGCACTCCGAGTCCGTGGAGTAGGCATCTGGGGGGATCGCGTAGTCACCGTCAGAAGCCACCGAAGACAGGGACACACCTGAGAGAATAAGGAACCACATCCCGTCAGTAGAGACACGGGGTGGCCCGGATAGTGACTATGACTTCCACAAACACAACCAGTCCTGAAGCGTGCGCTTTCCTTCACTCATTTTGTTCTCCTGTCTGTTACCATGATGAACTTTTAAAGCAGGAGGTAGGGAGAGCCCTGCAACGCTCCAAGAAAGAAACTTCAATCGTAAAGAGGTTGGCGTAGGGTGATAACTACAGCTATTTGCACATGTGTACAATAGAAGTCTACAAAAATATCTTTTAGTAAGAATTAGAGCTATGTGCATTTACATAGGACATATAGGCAAGCAAATGTATTAAGATTTGGGCAATCACACGATAAACTACTTAATTTTGGTAATCACTTTTAAAGTAATTTCACATTAAGACAAGACAAAAAATCCTCCAAACAGCATAATTCCAGTAGTATTTGTCACAGAAGTCCAATAAAATACTCATTGGTTCACAGAATTTAAAAAGTTTTCTTTTTAAAAAAGTTTTATTGGCACTTAATCCACAAATCACAATTCAATAGTTCAATCCTGTCAAGAAGAATTGTACAATCATTACCACAATCAATTTCAGAATATTCCCGCCCCATGATTACATTGCCTATAAAATGAGTTGGATAATCACCTTCAGTTCTAGTGCTCACTCCCCCTCCCACCTTCGTAGCTTACTCCCGAAATCCCCTCACTCTCCCCATCTGCCCCCCCCCACAACCCTCACAAAGCCTTGCATCAGTTGTTATCGCTATGCACCCACTCCTGTGCTTCACAAACTGGCAAGCCCAACAGAAACAGTAAGGAACAGAAACAAAATGAAGTGATAAGGATAAAACGATAGTGAAAGAAAGACAGAAATGCAAACCATGAGTGAGAAAAAAGGACCGCCATCAATATTTAAAAACCCAGGGAAGAAGTTCTTGTCATGGAATAAGCACGAGAGCCTTGCACCTAGATCAAACTCAGGTTGGGAAAAGCTTTCATAAAAAGAAGCAATAAGACTTTAAGATATAAACAAATTACTTCATTTGTCAGATAGAAGGTAAAATTCAGTGGGGCATTTTCACAAGAATTCACTTGCCTTTATAAAAAACTACTTTAAAGATTCAAGCCATATCTGTAGGATCACTAAATAAAATTGGAGATGAATTTAGTTTTTTAAAGTAGCTTTGCACTCCATTTTTAGTATCTTGAATAAAATCAGGAACATAGGTCATTATCCATGAAAATATTCAACAATTTTTACAGGGGTTGTTAATAGTTACAGGACGTTTTGCAACAATATCAGTATATCATTCTGAAGCACCCATCTGTCGGTCTGTCGTACAATGGTGGCTTGGGTGCTGGATCTGGCTGTTTCCAATAGCATCGGGGTCGACCATCGTGGGTGGGTTTCAAGAGAACTTTCAGACTAACACAAACTATGAAGAAAGGCCTGGAGATCTACTTTGGACCTGGAAACCTTATGGATCGCACCAGAGCATTGTCCAACACGCGCTGTGTACATGTCGTCAGGGGGGATCAGTCAAGAAAGGAAGGCATCATGTTTGGGGGCTCGCCATGTGAGACCTCAGTGAGGCAGACTGGTACCGGTAACTACACTGTATTTGAACCTAACAGCGCCCGTGAGCGTGACAAGGGGCACCCTTCCTTCTGTTGTACAGCGGTCACCAAGAGTCGGAGTCGGTGTGACGCTAGCTCTCTGTCTGTCTGAGGTTTTCCTCACCTCGTTTCATGGCTCTGGGGCTGCCTGGGCCGCTCCTGCTGCGAGGGTCCGACTCGGAAGTCCGGGAGCTGGACCTGGAGCTCTCTTCTTCCTCTGAGCCGGAGGAATCCTCCAGGAACGGGCTGCTACTGATTTGAGTCGCCTTCTAAAGAAAAGCGGAACAGCCACTCTGCATCTGTCTCTAAAGTTACCTCTCTCTCTCTCTCTCTCTAGCTAGAAGACGTCATGGGAGAAGATTATGTTCTAAGGAACATAAAAATACACTTCGCCATGATTGAAGTCATGTTGTTAAAACCCATATTCCAACTCGTCATGCAGTAGAATCCTGAAAACATAAGGCTGCCAATACCTAGTGATCCCAATTTAAGCACTAACACACATGATATTTCTAACATTAGGAGTTCACACTGCATCATGAATAAACTCATTGAGCTGGGATCCAAAAGGTAGGCAGTTTGAAACCACCAGCCTTCCCAAAGGAGAAAGATGAGGCCTCTATTCTCGTAAACAGTAAGTCTCCGAAACTCACAAGGGCAGTTCTACTCTGTCCTCTGGGGCCATATGCGTTGGCATTGACTCAATGGCAGTGACGTTGGTTTGGGTTTTCCCTGGAACAATGATTAATCGTAGGAGAAAAAGCATACAGGACACAACAAAGCTGACCCAGACCTCTAATATTTTGTTAAGAATAGGTATCTTCTCCAGACCTTTCCATTCTCTTATTTTTATGATCCCTTAATGGGAGCTTCTAAAATAAAAGAAGAGGCTGAGGGAAAGGTCCCCAATGGGATCTGGAACTTGAATAACCAGTTGTCTTGATTTGTTAGGAAGAGAAGCACACGCTTAGCAGGAATAGTACTGCGTTACCCCCTTCAAGGTTGTGTACACTGGCGTGGTCATATTCTTGTAGATCAGAGATGTATACAGTCCCGATGTAGTATACGAGAGCACTGCAATCGAATCTGAAACAAAAACAAGAACAACGAGTTGTTATCCTCTACCCAAGTACATTGGTCTTTTTCTTACGAATGTGATTTAGTACAAGGTCCAATTAGAGGAAGTAGATTAACATAGAAACGCATCCATTATGTAATCTACTTCATGAAAGACTGCATTTCCACATCTAGTTATATGCAGATACATCAAAAAGGAATATTACGAAATCGTAGAAGCCTTCATTAAAATAAAAAGATCCCAAATGTGAAGCTACTGCTTCTCGACACATCCTCCGTTGAGACGCAGACACTTCCGAAGGCCGTGTTCCCATCTCCAGCCCGTCCGCGCAGAGTTCTGCACTCTGCTTCACCCGGCATCAAAATGGCAGAGTGAGCACCTGCCAGGGGCTCAGATTGCTTTTCTGTTCAAAGTCCTTGGAGTCTGGGAACCAATGAGTGTGAAGGGGCAAGACCAGGGCTGTAAACGGAGAAGGGAGGCCTCCCCATAACTTCTCATAGGACAGCCCTTGCTGTGTGAAGAACGAGCGAGTGCCTTCTTGGGAAGGAAACAAACATGCACTGCAACTTTCCTGGCCTCTCTCCCACCTGCGCAGGTTCCCATTTTCTAACACTTCCTAAGTCCTTTGAGGACACCTGTGAAGATTACCCTTTGAGAATCCCAAAATAAAGTCGCCATAACTTTCTGAGTTGATCTCTCTGCCTTGACACAGCAGATCCCCTTAGAATCCAGTTTTGATTGGACATATATATAAATATAATATATATATCTAATATATATTATACATATATATTCATTATATATCTAATATATATTATACATATATTAGATATATAATGAATTCACCCTAATGAGATTAAGACCAATATATGTTACTGAGAGAGATTGTCTGCAGCCATCCGCTGATGGCAGACATGTTTAAACACCTTTTGTCTGGAATAAAGCTGTGCATGTACAAACGAGAACCCTAGTAGAAGTACTTTCTGCCTTACTCTGGTGTACTCTCACATGGTTCATGCGAATCTCAACGATAAGCTTTTGAGAGCAGGGATGACAGTTTTTATTTCTTTGGCATCTCCATCCATATTTAGCTCAGGCTATGCAGAACTGAATATTTGATCCAAGTGAGTAATTGATCTAAGTAAAGATATTCTCTGATTATTCATAGCCCTATTGCTGATACGGTATCAGATGTCTTCATTCTTAAGTGTTTATCAGGTAAGCCTCATGTTAAGGCCAGAATACAATTTCTTAAATGACATAAACAGATGACAGCTGAAAATGAATAGACCATCAACAATTACAGAATGCAAAATAATACAACCACTTTGGAAAACAGTCTGATGGTTCCTCAAAGAGCTAGAGGCACAGGTATCATGTGATCCAGTAATTCCCCACCGAGGTATATAACCCAGGGATGTAGTGAGAGTGGAATGAAGAGACATGCACACTCAGGTTCAGCATAGCCCTATGCACAATAGCAAAGAGATGGAAACAACCCAACTGCCCATCAATGGATAAGTGCACAAGAAAAATGTGGCAAATACATATAATAGAATGCTACTCAGTGATAAAGAAAACTGAGTTTCTGAAACATCTTACAACATGTGAACACACCTGGAGTGGAGGACAATATATATATAACTATATATATA